GGGGGTCCGCTGGCCCCTGCACCCACAGCAGGCGCCGGAGCTGACACTTGCACCCGCTGCCGATGCCTGGCTCCGTCCTGATGGCTCAGCGCCAGCAGCGGATGAGAGTGCCGGCTGTCAGTCCCAATTGCCTCTGAGGGCTTCTCCACCTTTTCCTCCTCCTGAGGGGCGATCGGGGCTGGCAGCTGCCGCTCATACCCGCTGCTGGCTCCACACATCTGCCTTCTTGCTATTCTCCTGGCTTCACACTGGCCGCCCTCCATGGTGTTAAGCACAGTCTTTCTAAAATGCACACTCTTCATGTCACTCTCTGCATATAATTCAAAATCCCTAGGGGTCGGGGCGTGCACCAAACTAGTATTTCCAGAGAGAGTCTGACATGCCTCTCGCTTTCTTTCATGAATGTTTCCCTCCTGTTTATCAGTCATATTCTGACTCATTCTTTGTAACTCAGTTGGAATCATCTCTCCTATGAAGCAGTTCTTAACTCCCTAAAAGGTTCAATACTTCTTTCCTCACTGCTCACCCTGTACCTTGAACACATTTTTACAATAACACTTGTATCGAATTAGAACACTTGACTTCTGTATCTCCCTCATTAGACTGCAACGTTTTTTATAGTTGTTTTTTTTAGTATTCCAGGGCTTAAAATTTTTATTAACAATTTGGAGACTGAATTTAGTATGAGAAGTACCATTTTTTACTTGACAGAGAGAAGGTTGGATATCACATACTATTAAAAATTGTTCTTAAAACACTAAGGTTAATAAAATGCCACTAATCAAAATAAAACCACACAGAAAGAATGGGCTCCCACCTACTCAAATATAGAGACTAGTTTTGTTTACAAAGTTACACTGGTTGCAATTATAACCACAGAGTGTATGTTGTGTGATATTAAGCTGGAAATTTTATCACATATTAAACAAAAGCAATAAGGACATTTTGTGTACCTATTACCTCTATTGTTTCATTTTCAATCATAATTTTCTAGTTTTTTCTCTCATAATTCATTTTTTAAAGTGACCTACCATCATTCTGATGTGTGTTTAATAAAATTGGTCAGAATATCAAAGCATTTTTTATTTGAATTCCTATTGAATCCTTCATTAAAATGTTAAGAATAGCACTTAAACCTTATTAACATGTAAATTAAGAGTACTAATTAGAATATTTTCTACTTTTTTATGAATGAAGTTTTATAATTTTATTTTAAAGCAATTTCTTATCCTAATATTTCCTTTTCCCACTCATCACATTTCTTCAGGACCGCATTACCATATAAATTCAGTAACTGGGGTTTCTACATCCAACTTCACATCTCTTCACTTACCACTTCTGCCAGATTAATTTTCCTAAATTAATTGCAATTATATGACTCAAACACCTTCTTCAATCATCTCTCACCAATAATCCTATATAATAAAAGGCCAATATGCAAATAGACCGAATGGCAGAATAACCGAACAACCAGTCATTATGATGTGCGCTGACCACCAGGGGGCGTGCGCGAAACATGGCAGGCTTTGGCCGTGGCAGGATGGTGGACCGTGGCAGGGTGGAGGTGAGCGGGGGCACCAGACCAAGGCAGGGTGCCGGTGAGCCTCTGGTGGTTACTGAAAATTCTTTGCTCCCGCACCACGGTCCCACCTGGTGCTCACATCCGCTGCCGGCGCCAGAGCCACCGTTCGTACCCACTGCCAGCCCCAATTGCTGGCACCTTCAGCGGGTGTGAGTGGCAGCTGTCAGCCCTGATCGCCCCTCAGGGCTTCTCCATCTCCCCCTGCTCCTGAGGGGCGATTGGGGCCAGCAGCCGCCTCTTGCACCTGCTGCCGGTGCCAGAGCCACTGCTTGCACCCACTGCCAGCGCTGGCCCAGCCTGCACCCGCAGCAGGCGCCGGAGCTGACACTTGCACCTGCTGCCGATGCCTGGCTCCGTCCTGATGGCTCGGCGCCAGCAGCGGATGAGAGTGGCGGCTGTCAGTCCAAATTGCCTCTGAGGGCTTCTCCACCTTCTCCTGCTCCTGAGGGGTGATCGGGGCTGGCAGCTGCCGCTCATACCCGCTGCTGGAGCCGGCCCCAATTGCTCCGTACCTTCAGTAGGTGTAAGCGGGGCCGGCACTGTCAGCGCGTGGGAGCCGGGCTGCCCGCAGACAGGGAACTGGGGGGCCGTGGCAGGAGGGGTCGGGTGGGGGCGTGGAGGATGGACTGAGACCTGCCCCTGTGCCTACCATAGCCTTGCGGCTCATAGTTCCTTTCAAGGTGCACGAATTTGTGCACTGGACCCCTAGTCTACAGAATAAAGGATACAAGGGAAACCAGAAAGAATTTACTGAGAGTCTAGAGGGCCCACGTGTTTTACAAACACCATCTTTCAGTAAGTAGAAAATGTATTATTAGCCCCCTTTACCGTTGAGACAACAGAATCCAAATAGGCACTGATAGACTTAGACTGGAACCTGTTTTTGTCACTAACGGGCTCTTCAGCCTCCTAGTCCAGCTACCAGAGTCAACAGGGAATCTTCCATTCAAACAACAAACTTTCTGCTAAAACAATGGTTCTCAACCTTCTGGCCCTTTAAATACAGTTCCTCATGTTGTGACCCAACCATAAAATTATTTTCGTTGCTACTTCATAACTGTAATGTTGCTACTGTTATGAATCGTAATGTAAACATCTGATATGCAGGATGGTCTTAGGTGACCCCTGTGAAAGGGTCGTTTGACCGCCAAAGGGGTCATGACCCACAGGTTGAGAACCATGTAATGTCCAGACAGACAAACAAGCACTTCTTTTTCTGCTTGTATGTACTGTTCATATACTTCTCTGTGTCTACCCCTGCACACTATGAATAAAATTTTATCTGTACATCTCAAAATCTCCAATACTCCCAGCTGCCTTCCCACTAGACTTCTCTAACAGCCTCAAACACCTATGATCTCTTCCCTGTGGTATTAATTACTGAAGTCAACAATTCACTGATTAGGTCATTCCACCCGTGGTAATTTTCCTAGGCACCTGCTCTGTGCCAGGAATGGCAATGAATCCTGGGAAATAATCCTATATAATAAAAGCCTAATATACTAAGTGTCTGGTCGTCCGTTCAACCAATCAAAATGTAATATGCTAATGATATGCTAAGGCCCTGCCTGATTACCCATCACCATTCTGCCTGCCTGCCTGATTGCCCCTAACCTTCTCTGCCTTGGCCCCCGCCATGGTGGCTTCATCTGGAAGGATGTCCAGAAGGTCGTTCGGCTGTCTGCTCTAATTAGCATATTACGCTTTTATTATTATACACTAGAGACCTGGTGCATGGATTCGTGCACCAGTGGGGTCCCTCGGCCTGGCCTGCGTCCTCTCACAATCCGGGACCTCTCAGGGGATGTCGGAGAGCCGGTTCCGGCCCGATCCCGCAGGCTAGGCCGAGGGACCCCACTGGTGCATGAATTCGTGCACTGGAACTCTAGTAATGAATATATGTGATCACTCTTTGAGGAGGAGGCAGTTATTGGGCTGTAGGGCACTCGTCATCGGCTGCTTTATTTACAGTTGTCATTGTAAGTACCTCATGGGCTCTTCCAGGTTGTAAACCATTGTGAGATAGCTCCTGTTTTATTTAGCTATGTGTCCCTTTGAGCATCTGACACATTGCCTGCACACAGGAGGAACTTAGAAAATATTTGGTAAACAACTGAGTATGATGGAATCGGTCATACATGCACACATTTTTAATTCTGTCCTGTAAGTATGTTGCCTAATGCCCTAGACCAGTGGTCGGCAAACCGCAGCTCGAGAGCCACATGCGGCTCTTTGGCCCCTTGAGTGTGGCTCTTCCACAAAATACCACGTGCAGGCGCACACGTACAGTGCGAAGTTGACTTAAAACTTTAAGTAAAGTTTATTAAGTTAATTTTAGGGAATGTTGTGGAGTGAAAGAAGATGTAGTGTCGAGGATTGAGAAAGGTATGTTGAGATGGTTTGGACATATAGAGAGGATGAACGAAAGGAGATAGACGAAACAAGTATACAAGACGAGTGTGGATGGGAGAGTTGGAAGGGGTTGACCTCAGCAAATGTACCTCAATAAGATTGAGGACATTTTTAGCAAAGGCCAGCTTAGGAGGACCCTAATTAAGTGCATAACAATGTACCTACATATATAGTTTAAGTTTAAAAAATTTGGCTCTCAAAAGAAATTTCAATTGTTGTACTGTTAATATTTGGCTCTGTTGACTAATGAGTCTGCCGACCACTGCCCTAGACGGAGTTGGGTGCCCTTCCTGTGCTCTACCCAGCACTCCCACAATGCTATATATTTATCTCTATTAGAGTTAAACATAGTTGTTAAATATGATACATAGAAACTCAGAGTTAAATATAGATGAGAAAACAGAGGCCCATAAAAGGTGATGTTACTGTAAACATCCAATCTCATTTTTTATGTATTATAAAAATAGAGATATTATAGTTTATGTATTTGATGATTACAGAAAAAAGGGCATTAAGTAGAATAAAGAGTTTATGTAAAGGCACATTATAGCCCCGTGAGAATAGAGGTTGCTCAAGTTAGTTAACAAAAGTTTATAAATACCTTATTCCTGTGATACTAACTCTGAAGAGTTAATTAACTATTCGTAAATTTGATGTTATATTTTGACTGTGTACTTTATTTTAATCATGGCAACAGTAATTTAAACATATAATAAAACTTAAGCTAATTAAAATAAATTGTTTTAAAAACTGAAATGAATAATCTAATTAAAATTAAACACGGGGCTCTCAAACTGTTATTATTAAAATGAAAGGGAATTAAAGTTTCATGAGTTATTGTTTATAATTCTAGTATCTTTGAAACCCTTAGTACATAGTTTATTTGAAACTATAAACAGGTCAAATGATATATAAATGCTTCTAAATAATATTCCAAGTAAAGTTCAATGTAAGGAATTTAAACAAAAGGAAAAAAAATTAAATTTCCAACATTTGAAGGTCTTACCTATTAATATTCTATTCTTCTTGATGCCACTTTTTACTTCATCATTAATCAAGTCTGTAAGCACCTGACACATCACATCGATGGACTCAAGGTGCTCTGGGCAGTCGTTAGATATTTTAAATCTGTCGAACCACACATTGGAGATTCCTCCTTTCATAGGAGTATAGGGTCTGTTTAAAACCAAAGAAAAGAAAAAGGGAATGACATTAAGGTAGATTTTTTAATTTCTAAAATCTAAGGTAGATTTTTTAATTTCTAGTGTTTTCAATAAATCATTTCAATTTCCTCCAAGTTTTATAAATTGAAAAATTCCTATTAAAAGCACCCCCATGTATATGGCATTAGCTCAGCTATACGTATATCGATTCCATTAACATTTACTAATACCAGTACATGTTTAGTTTCTCCATCTTTAAGATTCATAATTTTCCAAAAATCCTTACAAAAATTGAATTTTATATATATATATATAAAACATATATATAATGTATGTACATAGTATGTGTATATGTTTTGCTCAATATTTAAAATGATTCATCAGATCTACTATGTTTTTAAAATTTTCTGCATTATTTTTCCCCTTTAATGTAAGAATCAATATTTTAGTATACACAGCTAACTGAATGTTTGTCCATGCAAAATATTCAATACCCCAAGAGTGAAAAAGAATTCAGTGAAGTGCTTTTAAAAGTTGCTTAATTTGCAGCACTCAAGTATCAAAGGTGAGCTAATAATTTGGGTCTCAAATTGGGTGCTTTGTTGGACTTATAAGACATTTTATGTAATAAGATGCTCTGAATTGGTGTCTTGTTGAACACGGTTACTCATAAAATTCTTTACATTTTTGTAAAGTTGGGATGGTTCCAGTACTAGTGAATCTTAACCCATTCACAGGATATTCATACTCTGAATGAAGTTAAAGTGCCAAAGGTACCCATCACGATGTGAAAGGAATGTAAACCAGTGATGACCACAGATGCAGAATTCCTCCTACATCTACTCCCTGGCCCATCCATTTGGATCAGCTGTATACTCTCACCTCCAGAATCAGTGAGACAGTGTGAAATGTACACCAGAGCAAAACATTGGAGGATGCGAGACACCAGCTGAACCCTGAGGGTGCTTCCCTTCATCTTCTCTAGTAAAACCCAGTGGAACCTCAGCGACCCAGGGAGCTATAAATATTGAATTCTCATTCTCTTATCCACTGTATCAAAAGGACCCTCAATCTGTGCAAATCTGCCTTGGGAAGCATCCAAGCTTTTAGACCAATGGGTAGGACTGAAGGGGGCAGGAGAGCGACACCATCATTTTTCTGTATTGATCAGACCACTCCAAAATACATGGGCATCCATGTATTTCTTGAGCCAGGAAATCAAGAGGAAGACATTTGGAAAGTTTCTCAGACAAATTGAAAGAAATCTGGAAATAAGAACTCATCTACACAGGATCTTTTATTTACTAAAATAGAACCATGTTATAAACATGACTTTGCAACATGCTTTCTAAAACTTAAATGTATATCTTGCCCATCTGGCGTGGCTCGGCGGTTGAGCATCGACCTATGAACCAGGAGGTTGAGGTTCAATTCCTGGTCAGGGCACATGCCCAGGTTGTGGGCTTGATCACCAGTGTGGGGCGTGCAGGAGGCAGCTGATCAATGATTCTCTCTCATCATTGATGTTTCTATCTCTCTCTCCTTCTCCCTTCCTCTCTGAAATCAATAAAAATTTATTTAAAAAACACCCCACAACAAAAACCTAACATTTTCTGTTTATGACAATACATGATATTATATATATGTGTATGTGTGTATATATATATATATATATGTGTGTGTGTGTGTATATATATATATATATATATATATATGTATATATATTTATCTGTGTGTGTGTGTATGTGTGTTGCTTTGATGTTTTTCATATAAATCTTATTTTTTGCACCATTTCTCTTCACCACTCTCACTCCCCCCACACCCTGCCCTTCACACTAGGTTTTTCTGCCAAGGGCCATTTGTATATTTGTAACATCATTCGAGGGCAATACAAAATGATCAACTTAAAAATTAGCCTGTCATAGAAAACACCAAAGACCCCATCAAAAAAACTACTAGACTTAATAAATGAATTCGGCAGTGTAGCAGGTTACAAAATTAACACTCAGAAATCTATGGCTTTTTTATACACCAACTAGAGAACTGGTGCACGGATTCTCGCACCGTGGGGTTCCTCAACCTGGCCTGTGCCCTCTTGCCGCTTCCACTCATCCCAGCCCCGCTGCGCCTACTGCTGCTGCTTGGTAGCGCACTGCCACGGAGATGGGAGAGGCTCCTGCCGCCTCAGGGGAGCTCGCCAGCAGTGAGCCTAGTGTCTGGTGCCTCAGTCAGCTGAGTGGCGCTCCCACTGTGGGAGCGCACTGACCACCAGGGGGCAGATGCTGCATTGAAAATCTGCCTCCTGGTGGTCAGTGCATGTCATAACGACCAGTCACTTAGGCTTTTATATATATACTAGAGGCCCGGTGCACAAAAATTTGTGCACTTGGGGGGCGGGGGGAGGGGGGTCCCCCAGCCCGGCCTGTGCCCTCTCGCAGTCTGGGACCCCTCGGGAGATAACGACCTGCTGGCTTAGGCCTGCTCCCGGGTGGCAGAGGGCAGGCCCAATCCCTAAGTGCAGCCCCTGGTCAGGCTCAGAGCAGGGCCGATTGGGGAGTTGGGGCGCCGCCCCGTCATGCACAGAGCAGGGCGGATCGGGAGGTTGCGATGCCACCCTCACTCACGCTCAGGGTAGGGCCGATTGGGGGATTGGCAAAATGAGCCTGCCTCCTCCTATTCCCCTCCTTCCGCTGTTCCAAGCCATATCACCCCCACTGAGGAGAGTCTTTTTTGGCATTCATAGCCTGGGTCCACACAACCTTCTATCCCCCTTCTCTGGCTTCCACAGAGCCCCTATCACAGTCTCTGTCCAAGGCCTTGCTGTCACTCTGAGCAACACTATTTCCAATCAGGTCCCATCCCTCCAGGTTCTTGGGCCACCTCACTTCAGCACCATCCCCACCACCCAGAAGTGCTCACCATCAGAAAAGTTAGAACCCAATATTCCACTCTCTTAGCCATCAGCTCCCACTCTTTGGTTCTCTCAAGCTCTCCATTTCATCGCTCACTCAGTCCTGGCCTCCTCCTCCTCCAGCCAGCCACACTGCTCATGGGAAACCTCTCTTTGACCACTATGGCTAGCTTCTGGCCATTTTCAAAAAAGCAAAACCTCCATGGAAAGGAGATTCTAGGCCCTTCACACTACTGTCAAGGGTAGTTCCATTTTATCTGGGCTCTGCATGGGATTTTAGCTAAAACACAAGATTCCACACCTTAAGAAGTCTGAAAAAAAATTTACAGAAATTATTGTAACTACCCAACATACTCCTGGCCCCTTCTTATACCCTTCAATCTATCCTGCACTAAGCCCAAGTGATGTAGTCAAAATGCCATTTAATGGCCTATAAACATCACTCCTTAGCAGCATTATTCATAATAAGCAAAAAGTGGAAACACAAATTTCCATCAACTGATGAATGAATAAATTTAATGTGGTATAGCCATACAATGGAATAGTACTCAGAAAAGAAAACAATAGTGAAATACTAACACATCCTACAACATGGATGAACACTGAAGACATTATGCTAGGTGAAAGAAGCCAGACACAAAAGGTCACATACCGCATGATTCCATGTCTGGAATGTCCAAAACAGGCAAATGTATTGAGATGGAAAAGAGATCAGCTGTTGCCTGAAGCTGGGGAACATGTGGGAATGTGGAGTGATAGATAAGGGTGAAGGGCTTCTTTCTGCAGTGCTGGAGGTGTTCTAAAATCCACTGTGGTGATGGCTGCACAACTCAGAATACACTAAAAGTCATTGAGGTGTACACTGTAAGTGGATAAAGCGTATGGTATGTGAATGACATCTCAATGAAACTGTTTAAAAAATAAAGTCACTCCCCATTTAGAACTCTTCAAGAGCTTCCCATTTCCTAGGGGACCAAGCCAACACTCCTCTACATGTTACAGAAAAGTCTCCTTGAGCTGGCCTCAGACTGCTTCACTAGTTTTATTTCCCACCTACCCTCACCTTGCCTCTTGTGCTGTAGGAATTCCAGACTATGCCCACCCCACTCCACCATCCTGTTCTGTCCAGGTCTAAATTCAAGCTTGGACTCTCCTGTCACCCTATCCTCATCATCTTCAAAGTTTCATCTCCAGCATCCTGGTTTTCTCTCAGAGCTGAGCTGAGGGCTCCTCTTTCCAGGGTCTCAGTGCAATTTCAGCTGCACCCGCACCCCAGGAGCTCAGGGAGCATCCACAGTCTGGCGTGTAGCTCCAGAACTCACTGTTAGGAGCTTCTACCTCGGGCTCTGACCAGGACTACATACACGAGTCCTGGGCCCTAAACTGCACCTTGCCACAACACACCCGTGAAGGGCCACACCATCACTCTGCTCATTACCACCGCCACAGGCCCCAGCACACAGGAGTCCACACATTATCCTCACCGGATGGCCAAGGCCACCAGAAATGCAAAGATTTGCAGCCACAGTCTCCAGCATTTCATTTCCTTTTCTGGGAAAGATGAAGTCAATTTCAAGTCCCTTCTGGCCCCCACTGCAATTAACATCTCAGGAAAACATTTTGTTCCCATCTCCTTTGTCTGTACTGGGAGCAAAAGTTCTACAAATGGCATTAGTTACCACCTGGAAGGTCATCTGTCCCCCATGAAAGAGGACAGGAGGAAGAAAGAGAAGATGGAAAAGCCCCCGAAACTAAACCTGGATCTTCTCAGTGGTCAAAGGAGTGATTGTACTGAGCCTAACTTCCTGACAACAAAGAGCAGAGTTCCCAGTCATTCCAACACACCTCCTCTGAAACATCTCCAAGATGGAACCTCTTACATGGACATACAGAAGACATATGAAAACATGCTCAAAGTCACTAATCATCCGAGAGATGCAAATCAAAACAACAAGGTACCATCTCACACCTGTCAGAATGGCTATCATCAACAAATAAAAAAATGACAAGCTGGAAAGGATGCGGAGAAAAAGGGACTCTCTTGCACTGCTGGTGGGAATGCATACTGGTGCAGCCACTGTGGAAAACAGTATGGAGTTTCC